CAGAGCCGGAGGGCTTCCTAGCATGTTTGTTGATATAAAATTTTGCGGTGGTGTTGTCTGTCAGGACTTGTACCACTCTGCCCTTCAAGTGGGACCGGAAAGTCTGGCAGGCCAAATGAACCGCTCTGAGCTCCCTGACATTTATGTGGAGGGAGCGATTGTCCCGCAGCCAGCGGCCTTGCATGCTGAGCTTGCCCAAGTGGACTTCCCAGCCAAGGTCCAAGGCATCGGAAACCAGGGTCAGCAACTGGGAAAGGGCCGCGAAGGGAACCCCATCCAACACCGATTTGGGGTCCAACCACTATTCCAGTGACAACCGGATGTGGTCTGGCCAGGGCCGGCTCCAGGGTTTTGGCCGCCCCAAGCAGCCAAAACCAAAAAAAAAAAAAAAAATCCGCGGCCGCGATCGCAACCTGCGGCGGCAATTCGGCGGACGGTCCCTCACTCCGACTCGGAGTGAAGGACCTCCCGCCGAATTGCCGCCGCAGATTGCGATCGCGGCCGCGGATTTTTTTTTTTTTTTTGGTTTTTGGCTGCTTGGGGCGGCCAAAACCCTGGAGCCGGCCCTGGCCAGACCACATCCGGTTGTCACTGGAATAGTGGTTGGACCCCAAATCGGTGTTGGATGGGGTTCCCTTCGCGGCCCTTTCCCAGTTGCTGACCCTGGTTTCCGATGCCTTGGACCTTGGCTGGGAAGTCCACTTGGGCAAGCTCAGCATGCAAGGCCGCTGGCTGCGGGACAATCGCTCCCTCCACATAAATGTCAGGGAGCTCAGAGCGGTTCATTTGGCCTGCCAGACTTTCCGGTCCCACTTGAAGGGCAGAGTGGTACAAGTCCTGACAGACAACACCACCGCAAAATTTTATATCAACAAACATGCTAGGAAGCCCTCCGGCTCTGGGACATCTGTGTGCAGAATGCCATTCATTTCGTGGCCGTGCCCCTCCTGGGGACCTGGAATGTATTAGCAGATCGCCTCCGCAGAACCTTCATATCTCACCATGAGTGGTCACTCCATCTGGAAGTGGTCAGCATGGTCTTCCAAAGGAGGGAAACTGCCCAAGTGGACTTGTTTGCTTCTCAGAACAGGAAATGCCATGTGTTCTGCTTGATTTGAGGGATCGACAGAGGCTTCCTGTCAGACGCCGTTTTACTCCCGTGGTCGGGGGCCCTGATGTACTCCTTCCCACCAGTGCCATTAATCCACAGAATCCTCATGATGATCAAACAGAACAGGGTGAAGGTAATGCTAATAACCTCGGCTTGGCGTCGCCAGCACTGGATCAGCATGCTGCTCGACCTCTCGGTGGTGGCCCCACTGCAGCTGCCTCTCTGGCCGGATCTGCTGTCCCAGAACCATGGCAATCTTCTGCACCTGAACCTGGCAGCACTGCAACTGACTGCTTGGCTGCTGTGTGGTTAAATGCGGAAGAGCGGGAGTGCTCAGGCCATGTCCAGCAGATACTGTTGGGCTGTAGGAAGCCCTCCACCAGAGCAACCTACCTGGCCAAATGGAAACAGTTCACATGCTGGGCCTTGGACCAGAATATTAGGCCTGAGCAGGCCTCGATGCAGTCGATCCTGGACTATCTCCTACATCTTAAGCTCCAGGGCTTGACCCTTTCATCAATTAAGGTCCACTTGGCTGCTATCTCAGCTTTTCACCCTCCAGTCCAGGGCAGCTCGGTCTTCACTCACGACATGATGGTCCGGTTCTTGAAAGGTCTGGGTGACTCTACCCCTATGTCTGAGACCCAGTCCCTCTTTGGGACCTGAATCTAGTGTTGGCACAGCTCATGGGGGCCCCATTTGAGCCATTGGCTTCCTGTTCCCTTCTTCTGTTCTCCTGGAAGGTGTCATTCCTAGTGGCAATAACATCTGCTCATAGGGTCTCTGAGATTAGGGACCCAGCTTTCCTGCCCAACGTTGTTTCATGTAAGCCAGGACATATTCTTGCCAGTCTTCTTCCCAAAGCCTCATAGATATGAGGAGATGCGTAGATTGCACTCTCTGGATGTCAGAAGAGTGCTAGCCTTTTACATCGAAAGGACCAAGCAAGTAAGTCGATGCAGCTGTTCGTTGCAGTGGCGGACAAGATGAAAGGTCATTTGGTTTCCGCCCAAAGGATCTCATCGTGGATCACTGCCTGCATTCAGTTTTGCTATGAACAGGTGAAAGTGCCTCCTCCAGCAATTGTAATTGCCCATTCGACTAGGGCGCAAGCCTCATCGGTGGCCTTCCTGTCCCAAGTGCCTATTCAAGATATCTGCAGGGCCACTACCTGGTCATCTATGCACATGTTTATGTCTCTCTATGTGCTTATCCAGCAAGCCTGAGACTATGCTGGCTTTGGCAGAGCAGTGCTGCAAGCCACACAACCGTGAACTCCGATCCAACCTCCAGGGATACTGTTTGTGAGTCACCTACAATGGAATCTACATGAGCAATCATTCAAAAAAGAAAAAACAATTACCTACCTTTTGTAACTGTTGTTCTTCGAGATGAGTTGCTCATGTCCATTCCAAACCCTGCCCTCGCCTGCTCCTCTGTCAGAGTTGCTGGCAAGAAGGAACTGAGAGGGCATAGGGCCGGCGGTGCCTGATATACTGATACATGAGCGCAGCATTCCAGAGGGTGCCAAGGCCAACCCTACGGATACCACTAAGGCAAAAATCTCTGATAACCGAGCAGGTGGGCGTGAACAAACCTAGAATGGAATGGACAGCAGCAACAAATCTATAAGAGCAACAGTTACGAAAGGTAGGTAACCGTTTTTTATTAAAGACTTAAATAAGTATTTATATAAAAAACTATTATAGCTGCTTAACCTCCAAATGTGTATTAGGGATTCAGAATCAATAATCATGTTTCAAATGCCCTGTAAATATGTATTTTACAGAATCTTCATTTCATAAAAAGTATAAAATATGCAATAGCTGCTAGATTCTCATATTGCAAATGCCTAGGAGCTGTTTTATCAGGGTATAATTTGGGAATTTCCTTGTTTCCTTGAATAGTTAGTTAGTTAGTGTGTGTGTGTGCGCGCCACACACACGTATGGTATCTCCGTTTTGAGCTTAATTCTTGATTTGCTTCAACACCTACACACAACAGGATGATTTGAGATAGAAGTCTCAGCCTTTTGTGTATTGGTGCCATCAGTCAATTTGTCTTTACACTACACCAGGGGTTCTAAAACTGTGGGTCTGGACCCCAAAGTGGGTCGCGACCCTGTTTAAATGGGGTCGCCAGGGCGCAAGGACTTCAGCCCTGAGTGGTGGGGCTCAGGCTTTGGCTTCAGCTCTGGGTGGCGGGGCTCAGTTTACAGGCCCCCCCGCCTGGGGCTGGTTTCGGCTTTGGCTCCTTCTCCCCCCACCCAGGGCAGCGGGGCTGGGACAGACTCAGGATTTGGTCCCCCATTCTGGGGTCATGTCGTAATTTTTGTTGTCAGAAGGGGGTTGCGGTGCAATGAAGTTTGAGAACCGCTGCACTACACTATTAAATATACTCTTGACAGTCATAGGAGATTTTATAATGATTGCGGTTAGCTGGTGCTTAGTTTTGTCTTTTATACTAACAGATCTCTTTGTTAGACTCCGCTGCCCTTACTCATGTTGAATAGTATCTTACTCTACACGTAGTGTCATAGATTTCAGTAGGACTTTGAGGAGTAGGGTACTGCTCAGCATGAGCAAAGGAGGCAGATTCTGTCCCTCAGCTAATATTTTTCAGATAAAATATATAGCTTGTGACAATAATTGCAATAGCACAGAAATGTCTTTTACCGGAGGAGAATTTTCAGTAGTTTTTGAATGCACATTATTGATTTGTGGTGATAAGTGGCTTCAGCGCTGAAGATATTTTGTCTTAACATTTTCCCTTTCTGCTAATTTTTGTGTTGAAGAGTATGACCTGGAACTGAGATTTTTCAAATAGCTACCGAATTTTGGACCTCATCCTATAGCCTGTACACAGACACGTATTCTTTAAACAAATAATCCTGTCAAGGTTAATAGAAGTACTCACATGAGTAGGTACTGGACCTTTAACATCTCAGATTATGAATAAAGCAAATAGTTCTGTTTATGCTTGCGGGATATTTGCTGCTTTATACCTTCCCTGAAAATGACAGAGTGGCTGCATCTGAACTAGGTAGAAATTGGTTCAGACAAAGCTTTAATAATTAGGTAGCTCCCCTCCAGTCCAACTGAGTACTATGTATTCATATGGCAACATCGGTCACATCAGCCTTTTTCTTGCTGATGAAAGAGTGACAGTCAGTAATGGAGCATTAATGGCCTTTTCTGAGTGTTGTCGTTTAAAATGCAGGCAGTAGACAACTTTACCATCTGTATGTTTGTGCGAGTGCCTGAAGTGAGGGGGAATGGTCTGGTGGTTAGTGCAATGGAATAGGACTCAGCACGGCTAGACTTTACTCTCATTCTACCACTGACACATTTTGTGTGGTTAGATAAGTCATTTTTGCCTGATTTTCAGAGGAGGTGAGTACTCACATCTCCCTTGGCTTCAGCTGGAGATTTAGGTGTTTAGCCTATGTTCAGATTAGGCCATTAACCTCCAGGTGCCTTAATGTACTGTTAATATTGACCTCAGAAAGGTGTTGTGAGGTTTTATTGATATTTGTAAGTACTCTGAGATCCTTGAATAAAAGATGCTGTATGCTTATAATATTATAGCAAAGGATATTAAGAACATAGTTTTAAAACTAATGTTAATAGATTAGCTGAATCACATGCAGATGATAAAATTTTAACAAAATTCTCCCCCTGGTCTTCTAAGCTGGAATTTCCTAAAGACTATGTGTGTGGCACAAACTTCCTGTCCCCCCACACTCCTGATGCCTTATGACTAACCATGTTCTGAGCCTTGTTTTGCTATGTAGTGTTGCATCAATAATAAAGATGTTATCTCTGTGTTTATAGGCTGAAGTCACATCTGCTCCAGATGAGTCTGAGGGAAGGATGGATGCTTTTCAGTACTCCTTGCCAAGGTGCCTGATTTGCAGAAGGAAATATTTCAAACATTCTTTATTGCTTGCCTTCCCACTAGTTATTAGGCTCATTGGTCATTATTACCATTTCTGTCTGCGAGCCCTGTCTTATAGCAAGGAGTTTTTGGAGATTCATGACTTTGTGCATAGATCAGGAAGCAATATTCACATTTTCCTTATGATAAAATTCCAACATGAAGCCAATATAGTGAGATTTATGTGAAATAAGTGAAGAAATCTTTATATACCTTAGCATCTCTTAATATGTAGATCACTGTGTTCTTGCATCCAAATTTCCTGTGCTTATTTGAGCAAGAGTTTCCATTAGCCAGGAGTGAGTATGACAGAGTCAACACAGCTAATAACTCCTTAGACACACTAGAACTAAGATCAGAACTTACAAGCTATTTCTTTTGTTAGGTTGGTGGTGATGGTGTTATTGATGCATTGTCATTGTCATGCATGAATAAGTACCTTTCAAGGGAAAAGAGATCCCCAATATCTGATCATCTAAATTACTCATGAAGCAAGGCCATATACTGAATAGGTTCTTACCTCTATGTAGCAGTAACTGGTGATATTAAGTTAGACTGATGGTGGTACCCGGGCTTTCACCTTTTTGTTCATAGCTACCTTTTCTCCTCCCTTTTTACAATCCCATCCCTCCCACCTGTGCTTCAGCTTCAGCTACATTGTGATGCTACCTATGCCCAAGATAGCAGACTGCCTCCTATGAGACTGTAATGCTTTTATGTGTCCTGTTACCACAGCCTACCCCATCCTCTACCCTAAACAGCCACACTGCCAGCTGAGCCCATCGCTAATTATCCCTGATAATCCACCTGTTGTCTGCCATAGAGGCTAAAAATAAATACTAAGTCTCATCTGAAGACAAAGCACAAGTGTGTTTTGTATTCAGTTCACGCTATGTTGCTATAGCAGATATAGTCTCACTGGGTAAAACATCAGGATTAAAACATCTGTGTGATGTTTTCTGTAACGTCAGAGCCAGTGATAGGCAAACTATAAATCGGTGAGTCAATCAAAGCTCTACTTCTGAAATATTTTCCACTGGAAATCTAGGAAATATTGTAAATCTTACAATGCTAAATGGCCTTTCCGGTTCTTGTCTCAGTTTCTACCTGAAAGACAGACAGAAATTGATCTAGTTTTCAAGTTCAGAAAGGGGGGATTAAGATGGAACTGATCTTTTGAGCCACCTCAAATTATCATTATATATACATCACTTGTATACAGGTGCGTTAGGAATCTCATAGAACAGATAGATAAGCTCTGTGCTCCCAAATGTTTGCAGTCTAGAATTTCTACACAATAGAAGTTATGAGGACATGCAAACAAGAGGGCACTGGGTAGGGTTAGGTAGAGTCACATAAATAAGATCATGCAGAGAATCCATTCATTTGTGTACACTTCTTGATGAACTTTGAGGCTATAATTTAAAATGATAGGTAGCTCACTTCTTGGTAGAAGTGTATGTGTCTCTAGAAGAGATTTAAAAGAGGCAAGAGTGGTGGATTGGTGGGCAGTCTCTGGGACAGTGTTCCAAGCATCTGGGGCTAGGGCTGGGTGCATTTTTTTATTATTAATTATTATTATTATTATTATTTTGGCACATAGTTTTGTTTGACTGAAAATGCATTTATCAGTGAATAAACTATTTGCAGATTGGTTTAGAAATTTAGTTATATTTGTTAGAGATTTTTTTAAAGGGTAGAAAACACCTGAAAACTTAATGAAACAAAACAATGGAAGAATGTTGTTTTTGGTCGGATTAAATGTTTAGTTTGACCCGAAACAAAAGTTTGTTTGGGTTTTTCTGTATCTATCAAACCAAAATATCAATTATTTGCTCAGCTCCATATATAGTGGCATGGAAGAAGTCATGGAGATGTTTGTATGACAAGAAATTTAATAATAGCCTCCTTTCTGTGCCAAGATGATATGTGAGTGCAGTGAGATTACTTGCATGAGTAAGAGTTACATACAGCATATTAAATGTTCTACTAAAAGCACTAAATGGATTATGGGATGCTGTACTGCCATGATGCAAACCCAGCCTCAGGTGTAACATTGGGACTTTCTTTTCAGTCTGAGGGATACCTTCCATCTTTGGGGTAAAGGTTCTGACTGTCCCTTTCCTATTAGAGGAAACTCTCATCTGCCTTGAAGTTAAGAAGTGGAATTTACCACTGGAGCAGGGGATTGTTTTCTATAGAGATGAAATGGATAAAGGATGTTAGTGACATTCCCATAACTCTCACTGGTACAGCTAACCCAGTTATTACCACCGGGGTTCGGTGTTCTTTGGCAGACACTTTAGGGTGAGGGCATCTCATGATTGTGGGTTGTTCCAGAAAGAGAGTGAAATGCAGGGAATTGGAGGTTTCTAGGAAATTGCCTAATGCTATTTTTTAATATCTATTTTTCTGACTAGTGTGACATCCATGTATTCTATGGAATCCTCAGCAATGAGAAAAATCCAGGCTGAGTAAGTATATTTTTTCCTCTCTCTTTTATTGGGTGAAACAGTAAAATGGCAACAAATTTAAAGTTCCTTTTAAGCTTTTACAAATATAAATTTAAGTTTCATTAAAAGACATCTAGAGGCAGAAAGGCATCAATTAAAAATTGGAAGTCAAATCTTACTGAGGAAAATAGAAAGGAGCATAAGAACGGCCATACTGGGTCAGATCAAAGTTCCATCTAGCCCAGTATCCTGTCTACCGACAGTGGCCAATGCCAGGTGCCCCAGAGGGAGTGAACCTAACAGCTAATGATCAAGTGATCTCTCTCCTGCCATCCATCTCCACCCTCTGACAAACAGAGGCTAGGGACACCATTCCTTACCCATCCCGGCTAATAGCCATTAATGGACTTAGCCCCCATGAATTTATCCAGGTCTCTTTTAAATGCTGTTATAGTCCTAGCCTTCACAACCTCCTCAGGCAAGGAGTTCCACAAGTTGACCATGCGCTGTGTGAAGAAGAACTTCCTTTTATTTGTTTTAAACCTGCTGCCCCTTAATTTCATTTGGTGGCCCCTAGTTCTTGTATTATGGGAATAAGTAAATAACTTTTCCTTATCTACTTTCTCCACATCACTCATGATTTTATATACCTCTATCATATCCCCCCCTTAGTCTCCTCTTTTCCAAGCTGAAAAGTCCTAGCCTCTTTAATCTCTCCTCATATGGGACCCGTTCCAAACCCCTAATCATTTTAGTTGCCCTTCTCTGAACCTTTTCTAGTGCCAATATATCTTTTTTGAGATGAGGAGACCACAACTGTACGTAGCTTTCATCACCTCGCCGGTCCATCGATTTATATAAGGGCAATAATATA